ATCCCATAATGCAACTTGCTAGCAGGCTTTCCGTTAAATATATTCTTGGTAGCTCAAGCCAAGATAACCTTGATGGCATCAGATGGGCTATTTTTATAAATGTTTGCATGCTTACTCCAGAGAAATTGAAGATATTTTACAACCATTTTACAGAACACTAATCTTGAATGGGGGAGTATTGCTGCTTTCAAAAATAATCCTGTTTTACACCCTTTTTTTTATTCATCATCATTTTACTTTAATGTAAAATAGAAATGAAAGACAGCTTTATATTAATTCCAAAAATGTACTTATGTCTCTTGTGGGTGAAAAATGAACCCAGTGATACTTGGATGAATTATGAGAAATATCCTGTGGTTCTTTGGCTCTACACTTTTGCTTCTGGAGCAGATCAGACACCCACATGTAACTCAAAACTGCAACCTGTTACTTAAAATCTGCATGTTTTCATCTACTCGCACACACATGGTAACATGAGCTTATAGTTTCACCTGGAAATCACACACTCGAAGAGGTGAAGAGGGGGTGCAAGTGGGGTAGTGTGTAAAAGGGCACCAGGCTGCATTAACAAAGTATGAGCCTTTGGAATATGTTACCACCAATTGACGTTATGCTCTACCACCGAGAACGCCATGCTGGCCCCACTCTCTAGTTAACACGTCTGCTGCTTCCATAGCTCACGGTTGTAGACACCCTTAAGTGACTAAATGAATTCAGCAGTCCTCCAACATCATGCTCCAGTAGAAACAAAACCACTTAAGTGTTGCTTTCCTCTGCAGCAGCATTTGAGTTCTCTTAAAGACACAGCTGCTCAGTATCTAGCATCTAAATACACATTCAAAGAAATGCATGTGAGGAATTTGTACCCTGTTTGCCTTCGTTCAGCGATGACAGAGAAAGATTTCTAAGATTCTAATGTTTGGCTTGGCCCGATTCCTTTGGCTTAACCGACTGAACAAGCTGGAGACGTATACGCAGCAAAGGAAGACAGGGGAAATGTCAAGAGAGATTAACGAAGCACATTCCACAGAGGTTACCCTTCAAAGCAAAGGGAAGAGAGAGCGCAAGCAAAAGGGGGAGAGAGAGGGAGAGACTGTGTAATAGATGAGCACAGGAATGTAAATCTTTTCTTTGTTTTTCAGTATCAAGTGTTGCTGATGCTGTTAGTTTTCTGGTGTGTGGTAGAATAGACCACAAACAACAGATTATTTAGATGGTAGCTTTTATTGTGGCAGACAACAGCTGAAACTTTAACATATTTATATATTTATTTTATCAATGTAGCCCGCAGTTAAACACATTAACTTAGTCATTTGACATTATATTTGGAAAACCTGATTAGTGGATATCAGGCACCTTTCATGAAAACAGCATTCTTTCAAACATATATAGCATTTAAAATGTTTCAAATATTGAAGGATGTGTTGTTTTTCAACTGGTCACTCAGAGCGTGCAGAACTCTCGCAAGTTTGTTTCCATAAGTTAAGAATTATGCTTGAACCCCCTCATATGTATGCAGTTTTGTATGTTCTTTCAACTCATTGTTTTTTTTATACAACGTTGCCACAGGCAGCTGTTTTCAGACAGAAGAGAAACACATGCACTGTACCTGCTCAGCATTAAACGGCAGACTGACACAGTTAGAGATTGGTTGGATAAATCAGTTTTAAGTTATTCAGTTAAATGTCATGGCTGGTTCAGCAAACAGACAGGAACATACTGTTTAAAGTGAAAAAGTTTGAATAAAACATGTCTAACCTTGTAACCCCTGTTACAATGTCTATATAGAACACTTCATGTCTTTTATACATCTTAAGCACCATGAAGATTTAAGAAGGCATGGATCTTTTGATATCCGTGGACAAAATACAAATCCCCAACCCAGGCAGTTTTAGTGCAGAGCTCTTTGAAAACCAACACTTACTTCACAAACAGAACTTCTCTGTCTCTACTCTGGTTTTATTACCAGATCTTAAACAGTTTATTGCTGGAGTCATATTGAAAGCCCTCCAGTTTGAAATGATATAAGCGATAAGCTTTTGGTAATAAACGGCCTATATTTACGATGCAGGGAGCGTCAAGTAATGTGTGTATTTAAAGGAAGCAATGACAGTGAGTAGCAGGGTCAGCGAAAACTGAGTAAATAAAGTAATCTTTCAACAAGCATCTCACATGATATTTGTTAAATATAAACGCCCTCATCTCCTGTTAAGAACCCAATCCTCAGCCTCATAAAGTGAAGCTTCACGCTATCCTTGACCCCATTGGCCTGGCTCATTCTTCTTCTCTATCCCCCTTTGAGTCTCCACCTTATAGCTCATCATCTTGCTCTTCTATTTTTTTCCCTCTCCTTAGAAGAAAGTGGAATCAGATTAAAGTAGGACAAAGAAAGAGTAGGGCGAAAAAGTGCTGAGAGTGGGGATTTGCATTAAGTGAAAAGGAAGAGGGAATGGAGAAGTTATCCATTTAACAGATACCTGGAAGACAGGAAGGCACACGGCTGTAGAGTGAAATTATCTAGGCCAGGCAGGATGAAGCGTGGACTGTAATGAGACTGAGATGGATCCGCACAGACAGCGTGTTCATCAGCTGTGCATTACACTCCGCATTAGCACAGAGGGTTGAAGGGGCACAGTTGTCCTGGTTGTGACTTTTAGCGGTTTGATCAAAGCTTTTCCCAGTAAGCAGGACAGACAGACCTGTGATAGTGGAAACAGAGAGAACATCTCATGAAGCTGAAGGACAAATGGGTCACTTTTAGACGTTTAAAGGAAGGAACAATACATTTTGAAAAACCCAGCTAATCAACCAATTACTTTGAGCTGGAGCAGAAAAAACAATTGCACTGATTGAGATGCTTTACATTTGTCCTACCAGACTCTTTAAATGTATTTCAATATGTAGTCCTTTTCGAGTACATTTTTACTTTACATCATTTACCATCCTTTGGTCATTTGTAATGACCCTAGCATCATGGCGCTGTGGATGGTAATCAGGTGTCATGCCATTGTTCGAATTGCCTATTACTCCAAAATGTCCCATTGTTGTTGACTATTGCTCTGCACATCAAAATAGCACACTGTGGCAAGGCAGATACAATGTGATGTTACAATATCATGATATATTTCAAGTCAGAATGTAAAGAAGAAAAGTCTTTTTTACCATCTCACAGAAATTAGCAAGTCTAATGTTTGAAACTCTTCAAGGTGTATTTTGTGGAAGAACTAGCTTTCATGTGCAGGATTTCTGATTAAGCCACAGTGACAGGTTTAAATATTTTTCACAATGTCACACCACATATGGTTTTTAAGGGTGAAGATAATCAAATGACAGTTTCTAAGCAACAAAAACGCTCTCTCAGATGTTGACGCAAAACGTCCATTTGTGGACTAAAATGTAAGCGCATTCGCTTCAGTGACAATTAATAGAGACATTTACTGTACATCCAAACAAGCTTCATAGAGGAATAAGAGTTTATGACATTTATTTATCGCCCCATTTGTCACTCATTGTGAAGGGTTATTTCTCTTTTCCTGTGCTCTGTTATGACGTGAGGGATCAAATTCGGTTAAAGCGCTCCAGGGAACACAGCCATGGGAAACATTGAAATCTGAAACGTAGGGACCAACTTTCTGATTTACAGTAGGGGGGTGCGATCGCTGCCTCTGCACCAACCTAAAGAACGTTTTTACTGCCTGGTGCGTCACGGTCCTCTCTTGGATTGAAGTTCTAGGAGAAGCATTAACGGATTGCTGCCTGAAAAACAAACCTTATCCAAAATAGAAATGTGGGCCCCCACCACTGTGCCGACATAGTGCGCCAGCCTGGAACACAGGGTGCCAAGGCCAGGCCTTGATATCTTAGACCTGCTGCTAAGTAGGCTCACGGGACACTTGCTCTGCAGTTGTGTCTTGTTGACGGTGGTTTGGAGAGGCTGTCAAGATGATGTCTTCACTTATTTATGCAACTCTGTCTTTTAATATACACTTTGCTGCTTTGACAGAATGTCAAAAGTGAGGCAATAAAACATATTTATTACATTTAAACAGTGGCTCTAATGAGTGCACAGACCTGCAAAATGATTGAAATCTATGCTTGAGATATGAAAGCTGCCAAAGTTGAATTATTACCGTGCAGCTTTGTGCTTTAGTTTGTCTGGCAGACAGAAGCTCCTGCCTAATCTGCCATCTCATTAGACACCCTTGAGCTTCTAAACTAACCTAGATCTGGGATCCTGGAACTTTGATGTACTTATCCTATCAAAAGCATTTTTGTCTTGAGGCCGCCCCTTTTAGAATTTTTTAAGCCCAATTATTTCTCATGATCTCTGAAAAACGTATTTATATTTATCCGAGCCTCACTGTTTCTGTAAGCCAAGCCTCATTTAAATCATGCACTATTCCCCTGCTGAAATACAATATTTTCTCATTTGCCAGAGGCAAACCCCATAGAAATCAAGGAAAAGGCGCACAAAGCAAGGTTGTTTGAATGTAGTTTCCCTGTGCGGGTACCTGGGAACATGTGTTTATTTTACTGAAATTAACATGTTTGTTTAAACGTGTGTTTTGTGCAGTTTTGAAAACGTATAAAGGTGCCTAATTTGCAGTGTTAATTGGCTTTTTGCTTCCTGATTACCTGAAAGTATTTGTGTGTCTTATGCAGTATATGGCATAATCCTAGCCTACAGTATATAAATGAAATATATATATATATAATATATAATATGAATCTATAAAATAAATAAATAATATATATAAATATATAAAAACATGATGCTAGTATAGTGAATAAATAAACCATTGATCGAGGGCCCACAGTTAGACATGTACACATGATTATTGTCTCCTGAGGATTCAGATCAAAAGATGTGTCTCTTCAAACAGTTTACCGAGTCTCAGCTCTGGAAGCCGTGACTATCCAAACATAGTGCGGCTGGTGTTGTATGCTATGAAATAATGAGGATGTACAAATTATTTTACATAATTGTTGTTTAATTGCAGAAGCCGAGGGCGATAAGGCTGCAGCAGCCCCTGCTGGTAAGTGCCTTCATAGCATCTATTCTGAGCCCATAAACTGTGCCCCAGAAATCCAATTTATTTCTTTGTTACGCATACAGTAATCAGCTATTATACATTTAAGCTACAATAACCACTAAACATGAATAATATTAAAATCTTCTTATTAAGAGCGGTTCATTTTGTAATACATTCTTCTTCTTCTTTTTTTCAGACACGACGGGTAAGATGACATTCAGTGTTTCATTTGTCTATATGTTCTATGGATTTAACTCTATAGATCTGTATCTCAATCATCATCACTTTCATCATCATCCACAAAACAATGTGTGTTTCCCCTGAAACAGAGAACCCGTTAGAGGAGGAGGGTAAGACTTGCAAATGAAAGAAACACAGAATCAGTGAACTTCTGTGGTTATGGGACTGAGTGTGGGGAAGATATGCATGTGGCTACACATACTCTCTCTCACACACACACACACACACACACACACACACACACACACACACACACACACACACACACACGCACCCACTACACTATAAGTGTATTTTGAGCACCAGCGATCAGAGCTGCTGATTCAATTTGATGTTAGGATCCATTAAAAGGTGTTTAATTTATTTGTAAGAGTCACAGTGTGTGTGTGTGTGTGTGTGTGTGTGTGTGTGTGTGTGTGTGTGTGTGTGTGTGTGTGTGTGTGTGTGTGTGTGTGTGTGTGTGTGTGTGTGTGTGTGTGCGCCAGGGCTCTGGCCAATGCAATTTTCTCACAGTCAAGTGCTGTTTTAATAATACACTATACACGCACTGAAGGGATAGAGCAAAACAAAAACACATGTATTACTAATTTCTCCTAATAAAAAGTTTGATTAGCTCAATCACCAAAATTAGAATATGCATCATAGTTAAGACTGAACAACAACATTTAATTAAAATCTTTATCTTGAAAGAGAAATCGGGTGTAAGTATATTTAAAACATGACTTGATCTGCAACATCGGTAATACATTTCTTTAAAAATCAACAGTCTCATCTAAACTTAGCTTCGTGTCTGTTTACACTTTCATTAACACATAGCCTACTTTACATTTACAATATAATATATTATAAGACCACAGAATAAACCGATTATTTAATCGTTCCATTTTGAAAGCATTGAATGCAGTGGCCCACGACCCGTTACATTTTACCTGCAGTCAATCCTGACTTTCAGAAGTAGTATAATACAAAATAAAAACTGCCTATAGTTGTGTTACCTCTGATTTGTTGATCCTTGGATTTTGTTGTGTGTTTGTCACTGCGGTTGTTTCATGATATGAGGATCTGTTTCCCATTCTGCTGTGGGTCACATGATCAGACTGATTTGTATGTATGAGCAAGAAGTCTGAGATAGATTCAGACTGGCAGATTGCTCGTCTCATTTCACTTCCCCTTGTGCCTGAAAATCCTGACCTTTCAAGTCCGATCCATAGTTGAGGGTAATGCATTCAGCTTAATGTGTGAAATAATTGTGTGTGGGTGTGGTAGCCCACAGCAAAGTAGCTGTATGATATGTGAGATATATTCACTGTATCTATAGATCAGGTAGAATCATGTTCCGTGCTGCAGGAGAGTGTGTATGCATGTTTATGGAGATTTCCTCTGCCAGTGGCATGTATTCAGTAATAAGTAATGAGTCCCCCGAGAGTCACACATAGTGTTATACATTTATACGTAGGTTCTATTTGTGTAGAGTTTCAGTTCACCTTGTTGGATAAAATGCCAATTCATGTTACAAAAGAGCTGCAATAGAGTGGAAAGTAGTACATGTGTTTCTGTGAGTATTTCAGTTTGTATGTGCAGTTGCTATCATTGGAGATGAATTATTGCATACACTTTAAGTGGTTTGCTGAGAGTGATTTAATGTGTGTGTGTTCAGTTGCAATGACGAGGTAGAGCAGTGTGTTTTACTGAGACTGTGTTGCTAATTTTTGCTGTGGTTAAAGGGGAACACTGGCCGAACCGCTGTTATATCCCAAACAATCATTAGCTGTTACTGATATAAACACAGGGTTGGCAGTTCAATCTCCAGCCGCTCCTGTTTCCATGTTAAAGTGTCCTTAGGCAAGACACTGAACCCTGAATTGCACCTTATATTCAGATCAGCACTTGGCTCACGTTCGGTGTCAGTGTTAATAGATGAGTGCGAGTTATGAAGGGCTTTGGATAAAAGCGCTATATACAGTACATGCAGCCATTTTGCCTTTTTGTATATCAGAGCATGACATTTAAGATGTTTCAAATGTGTGTGTGTGTGTGTGTGTGTGTGTGTGTGTGTGTGTGTGTGTGTGTGTGTGTGTGTGTGTGTGTGTGTATATGTGTGTATATGTAAGTGTGTTCAGTCAGTTCCACCCTGCCTGAAGATGTTGTAGTTGTCTCAATGAATATAGGCTCATACATTGTCTTTAATGGATCTTTGATGAACAGACGTTAGCCATTGCATACATAATATCACACACACACACACACACACACACACACACACACACACACACACACACACACACACACACACACACACACACACACACTTTCCATGTGCCAACTGTTTCTTTCCATTCAGCGAACACTGAGCCTAGGGATAGAAGGGACAATAGACAAACACCATATTACCCAGCCTGCTTGTGCCTTCAGTTTGTGTGCTTGTGTGTCATTGGACATGCCTATCTTTTAATGTGTTTGTTAGACTGACAGCCATCATTTCTGCTTAAGATGAAATGTTTTCACACAAGAGATGGATTCATTATTGCTTATGAACAGGATAGTTTATGGCAGAGATATGGCTGCAAACACTTCTGGACATTGAGTTTAACACCAATCACAATGATATCTTTATTTATGTAACAAACAAAACTGACATCATAGCAAATAGATAAAGGGAAAGAAAATGATGAAAACAATGCAAAGCCACAACTTAAAAGCATTTTAAGTCACAGCACATTCATCACATTAACTGTCAGATAAAACAATAAAATAAAAATACAAATATAAAACAGACAGCAGAGAAGTTTATGACAGCAATACAAATAAAATGTTCAAGTGGTTATACTGCTTCAAAAAAAGCATCCCAGAAATGTTTGAGGGTTTGAGATGAACTGATGTGGTCTGGTTTATAAAAAGTGATATATCCTGCCTGTACTTATGGGTATATATCCTGTGCGTGTGTTATTTGTGGATGTAATACAATACACTACGGCTGAATGATTTGACACTTCTGTTAACGACACTGGTGATAGGTGTATGCACGACATCCGATCGAAGGAGTTTGAGTCATGTGTTTTTATCTGGTGGTGCTCTGATGATAAATGGAGGACATACTGAATAAGTAATAACTGTGAAATTACACTACTATGCATTACATGTATAGTAGGATATTTTATGCACGGAATGAATAGAGATGTTTCTATTTTAGTCTAGTAATATCCAGTCTGAGAATATTTGATCATCTCATATTCTACGGGCCCATACATTTCTAATCATTTCCTGGTAATTCTCTAGGATCCTGCTAGAAAAAGATTAGTAATTCAGCATCAATTATAAGTATAATATGGAAAGTGTTCAATTGGTAAAACAACAAAAATAATTCCAAATCCACCCCAACCACTATTGTGTGCTTTGTAATAGTTTGCACCTGACTTGTTTTAAATTCCTACAGCTGCTAGGACTTTGTCACTTGAACGGAAAGATATGTCATTCCTTCTTGAGTTGAAAGTCTTAACTCTGTCTCTAATTTCCCCCCAAATAATAGCAAATCACATCTTTTTATTTCCAGGAAAGTTTATAGGAAGGGTTAAGATAAAGTATCGATCCCGCAAAATGAAGCGCTACGGAATACTTTTAATGCCTGATGACACAAATTGTCCTCACTATCCAAAACGGCAGAGGGGTTTTAGTCAGATGTAGGCCATTCTCCCAAAGTCCAGGTCAGTGTCTGGAGTTTCACGATGCAGCAACTGTCCGATGTAACAGTGCAGTGTAAACATTATTAAGTGTCCCCTGGGTGACATTCCCGGATCAGCTTTACCCACTTAGCATTCAAACTGAAACCTTTAAAATCATCCTGATCTGAACTTGGATCTGTCCTCAGGGGCACTTTTGATTAAAAGCTCAAATTAACCGAGCAGAGAGAGAGAGAGAGAGAGAGAGAGAGAGAGAGAGAGAGAGAGAGAGAGAGAGAGAGAGAGAGAGAGAGAGCAGGAGCCAGGACCCTCCTCACTCTACTTGATTGGTTGTCCCATGTGCCTTTCTCCCTTTACCTGCTGCTTGTCCATAAACCCTCTTTTCCTGTAGCACTTACAGTATGTTTGACTCAAGACCTCAGAGAAACAATGTTTTATGCAGATTGTGTACAGTTAACATCCGAGAGCTTTTAAACTTGATCGCTAAAGAAGACATAACTCATTAACAGTTGTGTGTGTTGTTTTTTTTGTAAAAGAAAAAAACATGATTTGCTAATTGGAGCCAGAATAAGAAATATGTGTTTTTTTGGAGTGTGCGAGCACCTTGATTTAAAGTGTGAGTGCTCCTCACCTGAAGTCAAGATTATAATTGGATCAATTAACGCTTGTGTTTAACAGCACAGCACAGATACTGTACAGACTGACGCCTTCCCCGCTCTCTTTCTTTTTTTTCCTCCTCTGATGCAGAATTGCCTCCTGATGGTAAGAGAAATGAATACTTTAGAGTCTCTGTAAAGCGTATCAACTGACAAGCAAACACCTTACAGAGGTTACATCAATTTACTTGCAAAAGAAACAAGGGAACGGATAAAAGAGAAGCTCATTTTTTATTGCCAAGATAAGAGCGTACAGCCTCAGCTTATGTTCTGTCAGGGTGGCATAAGATTGCGCAGAGTCAACCCTAATGTGATGTCTTCAGACGTGATCCAAGCAGTGTCTTTATTCCCTGGGGCCACTCTGCTCCAGGGGGTTCCTTGGTTGAATGTTATTTATCAGAGGGTCCCAAATGGTGCAGTGTAACAGCAAAGGCATTAACTGCTTAATAGTTTTTGCCTCACGGAAAGACTGTTGCTCTATTTAAGTGCTAAAAAAAGATTACAAAAGGAAGATATCCTCCCTAAGCTCAGCGGTTGGCATTTAATGGTTTGAGACTTAAAATATATTTGATCATCCAACAGCCCCTTCACTGTAAGACACCAGATTTTTTTTTAAAGACTGATGATTTGGTTGTTTGCTTGATCGACATGTGTCCTGTTGTCATTTTCAATCTGTTTGTTGCATCTTTATCTGATTCCCAGATCACGATTTCCAGCTTTAATTGTTCCTCTGTTATTCTTCTATTCATCACCCATCACAGAAAATGTACCAGGGGAGGATCCTCAGCTCTCCGAAGTGAGCGGCATTTTTGTGGAGAAGCCGCAGAGTGTCACGGCAACAAAAGGTCTGACAAGATGATCGGCCATAAAAATCCTGAATGATATCCCAAATGAAAGGAGTGCCAGAGCCCTGTTGGAAGACAGGCAGCCACTAATCTGTTCATGTGTGTTGCAGGCAAGGACGTCACGTTTGTGGCTAAAGTTGACTCCTCCAACCTGTTGAGGAAGCCCACCATGAAATGGCTGAAGGGGAAGTGGCTGGACCTGGGCAGCAAGGCTGGAAAGCACGTGCAGTTCAAAGAGGTCTACGACAGGAACACCAAGGTATGTGTGTTAATATAACCTTTGTAAATCAATTGTTATGATACAGTTTGTGACTTTTAAAATGACTTCGTAGAGATATTCATGGGATCTAGATAATGAAGCTTATTGACTTTGGTTGTCCATAAATATCTTATAAAGTATTGTGTTTTTTAAAGTTTTTATATAAAATATATATCTAATGGATCTGGTTTTATCGACTGTTTCCCTATCTCACAACCTCTGTTCAATTCAAACTATTTAGTTTAGTTTAGTGTGTGTGTGTGTGTGTGTGTGTGTGTGTGTGTGTGTGTGTGTGTGTGTGTGTGTGTGTGTGTGTGTGCATGTTTTTCTTTCCTATTTAATGTAATTAGCACTTCTGTGAGACCGATACACATTTAGCAAAGATTCTGCCCAAAATGGATATACAACTAGTATTCAACATAATGCCCAAATAAACTGTAGATGGATAATGAATACAAGATACCAATGTATGCAGATGACACAACACTTCAAATGATTTTGCACAGGGTTTGTTCGCTGATCTTCAAATCAGGGGTTCAGCAATTTGATTAATGAGCAAACCGATATTATTCAACCTGTGTTGTCTGAGCATGACACTGAGAGGATGTAATGCTTATCTGTTCGCGTGTGTATGTGTTCGTGTGCGCACGTGTGTTCATTTAATTCTATGTGTTCCCCACAAATCATCCCCCTCTCTCACTGTCAGATCTACACTTACGAGATGAGCCTCATCAAAGTAGTGGATGGAGACGCAGGTGGCTACCGCTGCGAGGTCACCTCCAAAGACAAGTGCGACATCTGCACATTCGAAGTCTCCGTGCAGGGTAAGCCTGGAGACAGACAATCTCATCATTGTCATCTTCCATTCAGCATATCCACTTTTACTATGTTACAGGCTTTGTTAGCCAATATCTCAGTGAGTGCGGTACACATTAGGTCCTATCATTTAGTGGCCTAGCGAGGTCATCAGTCCATTATTCTTCTGCTGCTCCAACCTGCGGTGTAATAAATTAACCTAGCCTCTCACCAGTCTTCTTTCTTCCGTCTTCCTTCAGCTGTACAAGAGGAGCAGCAGGACAACATCTTGGAGTCGTTTAAACGATCGTGAGTCTCAGTGTCGGCAAGGGTCTTCTCAACATGTCGCCCATCACACTGTCTCCCATATGCTCCACTGTAGAACGCTGCCTCTGGGCATCTGTCAGTCTCAACGAGTGTCTCTGCCTGTGTGTCTGTCTTTTCCTCAGTTGTAACCGACTTTGTACAAGTCAGTCTGTCTGCCTGTCTGTCACGTCTCAACGCGTCTGCTGCCTTGGTGTTTTGCTTCACCTAGAGTCCTTCATGGTTTACCATCTTAAGGATTTCTCTTTGACAGTCTCCAAAGGGACTTATTTTTTCCCTCAATATCTATTTCTGTCTTTGACTCTGTTGGTGCGAAGTGTATCAGAGTGTGTATCCTGTGGCTGTGCTTTTTTAACGAGTTATTTTTCTAAATGTCAGCTCTTCTCAGCCTGTGTACTGTATGCATCTTGTGTGATCGGAAATCAGCCGACATCTTAGCACCTTGAGTCTCCTTATTTGTAATCTGTCTTTAAAAATAACATTTCCTTCCCTCGTTAGAGCGCGAGCAGAAACGCACAGGTAAGATGAGAAACACAACAAGGGAAAAGACAGCATCATAATGTGGTTTAGACAGGATGTCAGTGTGCTTATTTGCAGAATGCTGATATGAAGGAGAGAGAGCGTGCTGGGGGGTGAAGTTGGTGTGATAAATGAAAAGTGAAAAGTTGCTTAAAATATGTTGCTGGAGAGATAATAGATGAGTCTGTTAAACACCTTGTTGTGTGCAGGTCGAGCACTCAACCTCTAAAAGGTATGGAGAATCCTGTCTCCTATGGGATCCTCATCGGTGTTTCTCTTAACATGTATTACAGAAGCTAATACATGTGGGCTGATTATTTGATAGTATCTTGGACACTCACTCCTATTACTTTCTTATTACTTTTTTTTTTTTACGTGTGCTTGTCTGAAATAGCCTAAGCTCTCCATCATATGCCCTAGGCCTATCAGCCAATGTTCTCTTCTTTATGTCGCCCTGCTGACTGATTGGCTACCTGAAAAGCCATCAAAAGAAAACAGAAATTATTCTGTGGAATACATACTGATCACACCATAACAGGGAGCTAATTATAGAAAATCCCCTGATCCCCATTTTTATGTAAACTCCAGTGCATTTTAACATACCACAGCAGCCATGGTCATTTATTTTTTACATCTTAACTTTAGTGAATATTCAGAAAATATTGTTTAAAAACGTAATGTGTGTTTCACTTCTTCCAACAGTAGGTGTTTAAGGGCACTATCTGATACAGCAATATAGAATCTCTCAAAAGTGTTCAAGTAGGCTGATATCTAGCAATTGCAGTTCACGGCGAACATCAATTTCATGCTCACTCGACCATCTGGTGATCATGTGTGCCCTGAGAGAGAGAGCATTGTCACAGGAAATTTCCCGCTTACGAGATGGCAAGGACAACATGGATGGATGTTATCCTTGCATGAACCGTTCAGCCATAGGACAAACATCATCACTCGGGAATGGCTTTGAATTTATTGGCATTTATCTTGCTCTCTGAGGCATTCAATGAGCCTCAACAACGCCAGAAAAACTGTTCACAGTGGAAAACAACAAACACTTGAGCCATAGACATTTATTGGTGTGTGCCACACACAGGTACTTGTCACCTTGCTGAGCACAAGAGGGTGACTGATGACTCGAGACCAAGTTAATTCTTCTCATCACTTGGAAATGTTCATGTGAGGCGTAATACAAGGTTTATGCAGTGAAACACAGCGATAGCTTTCCCCTCCATGAAGTTCTCAACCCACGATTCTGCATCATGTTGAATCTCAGGAGCATACTTTCATTCATCAATGAATATTTCACAGATTTCCATATAACATCACTTTTTGCCTGTGCTTTCTGTGCTAATAACAATTAAACCATGCTTCAGAACTTGCACCATCAAGTTATTAATTCACTGTTGTGCTTTCTGTGATATACAGTACACAATTTGAGCAGTATGTATTTTGCTTGTAGCTAATCTATGTCTCTTGCTTACATGTGCTTGTCAATTGTGATTTCTGTCTGTCACTTGAATTTAGGGCATGATGATTGCTTATAGCCCTCATCAAACGCTCTACTCTATGTTCTCACTCATCCTATTTTTGCATCTATCTGAACACAGGGTGAAAAAAGGGTAAGCTCTTACTACAGACAGGAATTCATTAGAACTGCACTGTGTGCTGTTTGGTTCGCTCAGGTTGTCTTTGTTGGCTTTATAATTGTCCTGTAATTGATTGGGTAATTATAGCTTTGTGTAATGTGGAATAAAAGAGATTATCTATATTTCCTATTACTCTTTTCCGCTACCCGCTTTGGTACAGTTTTATACCCATACAAAGATAATTCCCATTAATTTATTTCCTTTAATTTCAGTGGAGATGCTGGTGAGGATGCTGGTGATCTTGACTTCAGTGCGCTGCTCAAGAAAAGGCAAGTTCATCTTTTAATTACCAACAGACAAACATAGACATTACATTTTGGTCTCTTAAATTCGTTTTTCTTGAATGTGGTTTTAATTCTCAGGGAGAAGAAACACAAGGAGGTTGTTGTAGAAGACGTGGATGTGTGGGATATCCTGAAGGAGGCCAAGCCCTGTGACTATGAGAAGATTGCCTTTGAGTACGGCATCACAGACCTGAGGGGCATGCTGTCGATGCTGAAGAAAATGAAGAAGAAGGTGGAGCCCAAGAAGAGTGATGGTGAGGAGCGAGGAAAAAGAGAGTAGAGTTGCTACGACGCAAAATGAGACGGAGTGAGGTGGCAGACAGGAAACAGGAGCTCTGTAATGCAGCAGGCTTTAAATGCAAGCAGTGTTTAAAGGCCTTGAGGGGGAAGTTATATTGCGGGGAAAACAGGTTGAATGCGTGTTAGTTTACGCTTGCTGCTGGATTATTTGGCTGTTAAAGTTGTTGTTGAAATAACTAACTGATCATTTATCCTCAGCTTTCCTGAAGAAGCTGGATACAGCCTACTCAGTGGAAAAAGGCAAAAGGATCCATCTCACAGTGGAACTAACTGACCCCAACGCTCCAGTCAAGTGGCTCAAAAACGGACAGGAAATCAAACCATCAGCCAAGTGAGCAAATTGCTATATCACTATTTAGGTGGTATACTTTCCACTATATGCCGGTGTGAGTGTGACATTGTACTGACACATCATGTTGAGAAAGTATAAAAGTACCCACATGACCAGCTAGGCCCTTGCAAAAAGTCATTTTAGCCATTTGTGCGTTCGTAAAGAAAACGAGTTTAAGCATAGACCCTTGTCCCATTTCTTTCAAGTATTTTAAGTGCTTTTGATCAGAGTAATTCAGAGTTAATAACATTAGTCACAAATTAGTCATGTGTAAAAGATTGTACTTTATAAAGGTTAAACTCTTTTCAGTCGCATCATTGCACATTTCATATTTACATTAAATTACATGTTACTTACATACTCAATACTGTGGACAATCCCCACAGGAGCAATTTGGGGTGAAGTGTCTTGCCCAGGGACACAACGACTGTGACCCCCTGATCCCAACACCAACGCAATAGTCCACTGCGCCACCCCCCCCCCCCCCTTATTTGTTTCCTGTTAAGTTGTATTGTTAAATCAGCATGTTCACTGTAGTGTATGGTTGTTAGCAAGGTAAAGTTACATTGAAAACTGTCCAAACATATATATATATATGTAAGAGAGCAATTTAGAATAAATGGTTTGACCAGCATAATAGCTTCGGAGCCAGCTCAGCTCCCGTCAGTGTCCCTGGTTCTCCTCTTTGCTCTTTTCTCCTTCAAAGGCTTCTTTTGGTGTTTTATTGAAGAGGCTACAGCTGTAGCGAGCGGTATCTTTTCAATGGCTCCACCATCTGCCATTTTGAGTCGCTCAGCGGCTTTCATTGAACGTAAGGATGTCCTCTTCCTCTTTTGATGAGGACAGTTAATATGTGAGGGGTCTCTTTTTGCCCTGAACGAAGCTTCCCAGAGCGTCTTTCAGGATGTGCACTGTGACCTTCAATAGCTAATCCATCGGGATTATCTCTATCTTTTTTCATGTCAGACAAACCAAGACATCCAGTTGGGTGTTGATAAGAATTTATGAGAACAATACTCAAAAACAGGTAACGTCTCTCATTTACATACATTTTAGAGATTCAAAAAATAATGCTATTTTCATCATAAACAATATGTTTGACTGCCTCACATGCCTCATCTGCAGCTCAGCCCAAAAGTAGGTTTTATTTATGTTCATATTAAACTTACTGTGAATGGTAGTTTATACCTTGACTCGTCCGATGATGTGAGCACTTCACTAGAGACCGTGGCTTAGTCTATGGATGGCGTCACCTTGTTTGTAAAGCGTCCTGTGTGTGTGTGTGTGTGTGTGTGTGTGTGTGTGTGTGTGTGTGTGTGTGTGTGTGTGTGTGTGTGTCTGTGTGTGTGTCAGTATGTGTCAGTGTGTGTCAGTGTGTGGGAGCATAGACTTGTGCTCTGAAGGTCTGTACAACAATGTGTGGATTCTGTGTCTCAAGCTGTGAGTCACTCTTGTTGTCTTCAGGCCTCTCTCCATCTGATTGTGGCCAGATTTGCTCAGAGTATATATTCATTATTCTCCTTTTCTTTCTTGTCTCTCTCTCTTGTCTTCCTCGTATAATCTTCCCCCATAATCCCTGTGCGTCCAGGTATGTGTTTGAGAGTGTGGGCAACAAGCGGACACTCACTATCAACAAGTGCAACCTGTCAGATGACGCAGCATACGAGTGCGTGGTCGGGGAGGAGAAGAGCTTCACGGAGGTCCTTTTCAAAGGTACATGAGTCACTGTCTTTGGAGAAATCCTTCTTTACAGCAGAGAGTTTTTTCTGCTCGGTTTAGCAAATGCTGTCATTTGAGCACTGAGAGGCTTGACAGCTCTGTTCCCTTCTTCTGTCTGTGTTTGTCTTCTGTTTATTTCCAATGCTTTTATGCCACATAGTAGCATGCTGCGCTCTGTTGTCTGCTCACTCATTTTTAATGGGCACATGGCGAGTGAAATTCCCATGTTATGTTTATTCTCATGTATCACTGTTGTTGTGCTGCACAGATCAATGTGCTATCACTTTTATCAGTTTGACTGACATGTGAGTCTTGCTGTTCAACTGAATAATTCATTTTCCGTTATATTGGGATTTTATATATATATGCTGAAATGTCTACATATAAGTATTTCTTTTTATTATATATATACTTATTATTATTAGTAATAATTATTCTAATTATACCTTGATTGCTGTTTAATTACAATATTAATTTAACCTAATATTTAGTATTTTTTAAGTTATCATTTATACCTTTTAATAATAACTGTTATTATATAAAAAAAACATACACCATGATAATAAGGTTATATTATAGATGGCAAATTCAGATTTACTATGGTGTCTCTATCTCAATGGTCTCTGTGTCTTTTCTGTGTGTGAGTATGAGAGGTTTTAATAGCTGTAATTGGGTCCTCTGCTTCTATATTAATCCCATACTTTACTTTATGTGCTCACCGCCGCCCATCCTGCTTTTACATTATCAGAGGCCGTACGAGAGGGTAATCTTTAACACAGACACTGCGCCCATGCAGATCCAGTGTGTGTGTCTGTGTGTGTGTGCTCAGATTTGTATGGACACAAACACTGTCTTTAAAAATGCCATTCATGTTTCTGTTTGCAAACATCTACATCCTTACCGTTTGTTGTTGATATCTTTTGATATTGTTAAAGCCAGTGAGAAGTTTAGCAGATGACAACTATTCAAAAGTTGCAGTCAAAATACATAGAGTACTTTGGCAGAGAATTTGGCTATGAAGCGAATGGCATCAAATGTAACACATCGAAAGCTCTAGTAGCAACAAGATGTTAATTAATGTAAGCAGTATGGTTTTACACTAACTATGTAGCGATTTTGTCACCTTAAGTAGAGCTTTTGCTTTTGCTTAAGTAGTTCTTCAGTGGGTCTTCATTCTAACTCCTGAAGTGAGTTCAGACAAAGTGCAGAGAGTTTCCCCCTTACAATATTTGGACACATTTGTTAGAAGGACAATTGTGAAGCGTCTGGTGATGTCTCCCCTATACCTGGGGGTAAAAAAGTATTTCTTTAAGTTTTTTACGCAGAGAAACCAAACCTAAACTGAAGACATCAGGCTCCTTTCATCAAAGTTGTGTGAGGCCCGCAGAAACAATGTGTCTGTGGAGCTGCTACAGTTTCGACAGTTCAGAGAGTTTCTGGTGTCTCCAGCTGAGGTTGAAGAGAATTGAGACGTCCAGAGGGGGACTGGATTCTGACGATGACAAATAGTTGAGGCTAGCAGAGCATCAAGCATCACACCATGTGGTTACACAATGTGACTCTCACCTCAGGAGATTTGAGGTATCTTCCACATCTACAAAACAGATGTGTTAGATGGCATTGATAAGGATTTTAACAGTATATTCTGCTAAAACAAGGGCATGCACATTACCTCTGTGTTAGTCTTCTCTGCTTGTAGAGAACACTAATAATGCCACCAACCTCCCTTCCACAGAGAAAGCAAAAGTACAGAAATACAAGAATGAAAGCTACTTTCAAGGAATGTTTTGTTTAGAAATAATATCACGTAAAATGAAAGCTTTAGATACTAGATTTACATAGTTGAAATCAATATCACAGAATGAAAAGAAATGTTTCTTCTGATGAAATAATTAAACTGACCAATGAACTTCTGATTGATCAGGGTATTCAATAAATTGCATTTAATTTCATCACACCCAACTCTTCAATAACACTTTAATATCTACTTTTTTAGTTTTTAATTACAGGTTCCTCAGAGTTTTCATTTGAGTAGAAGTATGTACAACCATAACACAACATGATTGATCCAACCCCTCTGATAGGCAATAAACAGTGATGTTGATGCCGTTTATGTAATGTAATGGTCTGTGCTTGATTTTGACTTTATAGGCCTGTCCTTTAGTTGAAATCAAGACTTTGCATGCACTTAGATTTAGCTGGGTTCCATCAATTACCATATGTGTTGTTTGTTCATGCCCTGTTGAAGAAATACACTGTACTCAAGTACCGATACATTGCAGCTCTATCCACCGCAGTTCTTTCATCCTTTGCTCTGGTCCTGGACAGTTTTACTCTGGTGGTTTATTTACAGCTTGTTAATCATTCAGTCTCACTCTGTTGTTTTAACATTTGACACAAAGCTTTGTTTGTCTTTAGAGCCCCCTATCACCATCACCAAGCTGCTGGATGACGTTCACACTATTGAGGGTGAGAAGGTGGAGTTTGAGGTGGAAGTGTCCGAGGAAGGGGCCAACGTCAAATGGTGAGCCAAATAACAATAAATTAGGATATGCATTATTCCTGACCCCTGTTCAGAAAAGCAGATTCTGCAATGCGCGGTGATCGGGCCCTCGCACATTCATGCACGTCGAGGTATTTCCAGGATCCCTGTCAACGCAGCAGTAAACTGCCATGACCGATAGAGACAGGCCCCAAAGATAAACATTATGTTTTGCATTGAGGGTGACGCACTGAAAATTATTTGTTGCAAATCTAGCACCATCTCCGGTTATGGGCGAACACATTTCCTGCTTTGTGTCGGGGGGGGTGCCAAATCCAGCAGCCATAACACCTGCTCTGTCAGATTTAAAAGCCTTTTCGTCGTGCCACCACAGCCAAGCCAGCCACGTAGACACTCAACTTTCAATATGGAGTTTCCTCAACCTCTTAATGCTTATCATATCATCATTTTGGAGAGATCTAAATAATAAGCAATAATTGGCAAAATAGTTAACATAAAATTCAAAATGGCTGTCTGTCTGTTAGGTTTACGATATGCATCCAAGATACTTTTTTGTGTGTCTCCCCATGCTTCAAATACCTACAACATTTCTAATTTCTACGTTAAACCTGATCTAGGGGCTGCCTTTTGGCAGCTTTGTAGGGGGCTCTATAGAGCTTTTTGCAGATGCCCCAAGAACACGACCCCCAAAATTTCACATTTTTCACCTGTCGTGACTAGTTTGCGAAAGAAAATCAAGTTTTGATAGCCTCTGAGGCCTTCAAAAATATCTATTTATTATAATTCAAGGGATTACAATAGGTCCTCCAATCCTACTAGGTCAGTGCTTGGGCCCTAATAACTTTTTTACTTGTGAAATGTATATATATTTGTTGTAATACTTCAGAATTCATTCTGCAATTGCTGTGAATGCAGCTCCTCAAACCCGAAAGTACAGTTTATCTTATGAAATATCTTACTTACTTACTGCACCATCTGTAAAAGGTGCAAAGCCTTGTGATCCCTGAGGGCACTTGCCGTATATAAAAGGTTGCAGACATGTCAATCAGCACATCTTCCCTTCTCTCAGTTGAATTTCACTGAAGCATGCGTGTGTGTTTTTTTCCCTCCTCAGGATGAAAGATGGAGTTGAGCTGAACAGAGAAACTGCAGGTTCAAAGTACAGGTTCAAAAAGGATGGGAAGAAGCACACTTTGGTCATAAATGAAGCAACTAAAGAGGATATTGGAATGTATTACGTGTTCACCAACGGTGGAGAGTCGAAAGCTGAACTGGATGTTGAAGGTACCATTGCATTGCCTAAAACTGTTACACATCTACAGTACAGCTCAATCAAGGGATTGGCAATACATAATACAACACAATATTATGTCAATAGCACAATTGGCACAATTGTTTTAAAAGGCTTCATTACAGTTAAGTAACACATTTTATGAATGTATCAGACTTTTGTAGCTGTTTTATATATGTCTTTACTCAATATGTCATTTTGTGCACATGACCTGTGTAAATATCTTGTGAAAGCACCAATGGTCCACCTCACAACAATCATCACTACATCATTGAGGTATTTGGTCCAAAGAGTTGTGATGTTAGATGTTCTACATATCACCAAGCCCTACTTAAATTCAACAGCAGCAGAAGCAGTAATTAACTGTTGATTAGCTGGCATATAAAATGTGTCAACAAGTATTTCAGACTCCGTTGCTCAATTAGGAACTTAGAGAAAATGTACACATCAGCACATCTTGATGTTTCCATCCTGACAAGCATGGAAAGCAGTAAATTAGTCATTACTCATGTCATAATTACAATTTTAATCTCCTGTATCAGTGTATCACATTATTCGTCATGCTTCTTTTCTTTTACACATCCAAAAGGGATGGTTGGGTCCCGTCTTACCCATCATGCAGACTCAGAGACCCAGTCTCAGTCGCTAAGCATGACGATTCTCTTAAATTGATTATAGTGTAAAAATGTCGCTCCTCCCAATTGGACATTCAAGTCAAAGTCAAAGTGCACCAGGTGATCAATTTAAATATTGTTGCAACCTAAATAGCTAAATAGACTCATTGCCTCATTAATGTTCTGTTTTCCAGCAACGTGTCCTTGTAAGACATTGGTAAATTCATGGCATTAGATATTTGCACTGATCTGTGTTGTTTTCTTTCCTTCAGAAAAGGAGCTGCAGATTCTGCAGAACATAGCTGACCTGACGGTGAAGGCTGCTGAACAGGCTGTGTTCAAGTGTGAAATGTCTGACGAAAAGGTGACAGGGAAATGGTTCAAGGACGGTGTCGAAGTTCAGCCCACTGATCGCATCAAAATGACGCACATTGGAAGGTATGATATCCGACTTATGTGGGTGTCTGAATGGCAAAAAAGCTTCTTTTTTTTGTTAAGATCACTCCTTCTGAACTATCATAACTATCACATAACTATCATAACTACCACACACACACACACACACACACACACACACACACACACACACACACACACACACACACACACACACACACACACAATTCTAAGTTATTTGACCCATTTTAGGATAGGCTTCAATCTGTAAAGTTCCACACGCAAACACACCCACACACACACACGTATCTCTGGGGTTTCTCTCAGTAATCCCTCCATCAGAGCTGCCTATAGCAGGAGATATGCCAAGGCATCAGCGGTCACACAAGGTGAAAGCCATTCGGTATGTTTCTCACTCTGTGAAATTGCCTCATGGAGTATGTTGCTAGGGCAACTGTCTTATGCATAATTGTGGGTCACAACGAGTGTTGTCTCCTTGGTAACATCTGGTTACATGTCCCCAGGACCCACAAGCTGACGATTGATGAAGTGAAGCCCTCGGACGCTGGGGATTATACGTTTGTCCCTGATGGCTATGCACTGACTCTTTCTGCCAAACTCAACTTCCTGGGTGAGAAATTACACCTCAACCAAAATATGAAGCATTTGATGAGATAACCATATTTTATTAAAACTGATCTGTTTATTTCCCCTCAGAAATTAAAATTGACTATGTTCCCAGAGAAGGTAAGGTCTTTATTTTATTTTCCTGAAATACATTTAAAAAAGTCATACTTATATTATCTTTCATGAAAGTATATGATATGCTTGATCGGGTGATGGTTCTGATGTTTAATTTAAAATGCATCTTCAGTTGAATATAAGCAGGACGAGTGCCAACTTTGAGTTACTTGTTTTAACTCTCTACTCTCAAGTAGAGAGTCAACCTGTAGGAAAACTAACACACAGGAAAAGTTCCTGCCTGCTCACAAGCACTGGGTTAACCGCAGAACAGTAGTTTTCCAGTTGAATGTATGAAAGTATAGTTCTTGCTGCAACATTTCAATGTCTAGCCAATGTGCCCATTGGGCCCACAGTCTTCATTTTTGTTGTGGTAAGTGCATTTTTTTCTTTTTTTTAACCGCATACTTTATTATGCTTTAAAGACCAATTTCAAACCATATTTTCAGCTGCTGTTAAGTTGCTCTTTGAACTTCATCCTCTTCAAAATTGAGTGGTCTGCTTATGAAACGCAGCATTGATGTGTTGCATCTTTTAGAATTTGCATGCTTGAAGGTCAAACCAAAACAAGATTGTCAGATGAAAACGTTGAAATGTAACATGCTAACCAACGGCACAGAGAGACAGCTTTAAGAAGATTGAAAGCAAAAGTAACCGTATCCTTTTCCTTCCTCAAAACATGTTGTGCTTATTATCTGAATAACTTCTCTCTCCACTTTCCCAATGAAAGATCCTCCAAAAATTCACATGAACACCAGTAGCAGCGGCGACAAGAACACCATCATGGTGGTGGCTGGAAACAAACTCCGCTTTGACGTTGAGATCACAGGAGAGCCGGTGCCCACTGTGTGTTGGATGAAAGGAGAAGAAGTGAGGAAGAATAGAGATAAATCCCAGCATTCAGCCCATACACACACACAAACACACCTCATAGTCTGGACCTTTGTGCATCAATCATTGTCCAGCCGTTAGTCGTTGAACAGCACGGAATGAAGAATGAAACATGAACTACAGTGGGGAGGTTGAATCACCTGTCACCTGTGGCAGCTGTGCCTTCGTCATGTGACACCACTCTCCTCAACTATCTGCTTTGTTCTGTCTCTCTCTCTCTGTGCTCTCCTCTGTAGTTGGTGTCTGAGGGCGAGGGAAGGGTCCGCGTGGAGACAGAGAAAACCCTGAGCAGCTTTGTGATTGAGGGGGCGGAGAAAGAAGATGAGGGCTGCTACTCCATCACCGTGACTAACCCTGCTGGAGAGGACAAGGTCGAACTCTTTGTCAAGATCGTGGGTCAGTGGGTTTTTCTCACTTTAGCCTTTTTCACCTCTCATTTTCGTCTTTTTTGTTCCTTTCCTTTTTTTCCTGGTTCCTCTGGGCTAGCTCTTGAACTGAATTTTGTATTTGTCAGAAAATATTGAGATAAGAAGCATTTCACTGTTGGTGCAATCTTTTAATATCCTATATCATATACATTTTTGATGTAATTGCGAGTTTATCACAATTTGCACAATGTGTACGGAATACCTGCATTTTCTATCGACTTCTGAGGCAGCTGTTATTTTTATTTATTTTTCTTTCAGTTAAAAAATAAAATTTCGAAAGGTTAGTAAACTGTCTGTCTTAAGCATACGTTTCATACCAATAATGGCAGACAGGATGTTATCTGTAAAGGATTTTTTTTTTATTAAAAAAGAGTTAGATCTTGGAATATTTTAAAGGACATTGAATTCAACACATTTCAGTTAGCTTTGAAAAACAGTGCCTTGGATGTGGTCAACTATGAACATATTCACGATTTACCATGTAATCATTTAACCATCATCTTGGCTTCACAAATGAAGACCATAGTGAAAAGAATAATACACTTTTAAGTTACTTAGCAAAGCTAGGAGGGTTAAAGACTGTTTGATTACAGTAATAACTGTACTGCCTGAAAGAAAACCCTGTCCTGTCAGACTGCCTTCTCTCCTTTTTTCCTCTGGGATTCATCTTTCCCTTTTTTTCATTTCCAACTGTAACCTGCCTCTCCAGATGTGCCCAACCCTCCTGAGAATGTCACATGCACATCAGTTGGCGAGGACTTTGGCATGATCACATGGGACCCTCCTGCATTTGACGGTGGAGTTCCCATTAAAGGTAACCCTGAAGCACGCTGCGGCTAATGTTCACATCTGATGTCTCCCTCCCTGGAGAAAACAGCAGTTCAGAATCCTTTTCTGTTTATCACTGTGCAATGTTTTTGAACCCTTTTACAAAAAAACACATTTTTAATAGCTTCACCGTATGTTGTATCTCCAGGGTACCTGATGGAGAAGAGAAAGGTTGCCTCAACCAGATGGACCAGGATCAACTTTGATGTTTATGAGTCCACCACATATGAGGCTAAGAAGATGATTGAAGGTGTTCTTTATGAGATGAGAGTGTTTGCAGTCAACGGCATTGGCATCTCTCAGCCAAGTGCAAACTCAAAGCCCTTCATGCCCATTGGTGCGTTGCCATTTATCATTGAAGAGTGGTTAATTAACAGAGGCCTTTCACACAATGCTCATTTTGAGGCAGCTTAACCTACCTCCCATCCCATTGACACTGGGTATTAACGTATTAATTAGCTCCTGTCTCTCTCAGCCCCCACCAGCGAGCCCACTCGTCTCATGGTGGACGATGTGACAGACACTACCTGTGCGCTCAAGTGGCGTCCTCCAGAGAGAATCGGAGCAGGCGGCATCGACGGATACATCATTGAATACTGCGTAGAAGGAAGTAAATATATACACCACTGTATTCCAAAGCATTGAAGATCATTTATAGGTTGTTACTAATAATTGTATTATAAATGTCTCAATTGATTAATAATGATAAAATGCAATGCGTTATTTCAGACTGTCCAATGGTGCACTGCGGTGCAGGTGGTTTAGATAATAAAGTGTTGGATACTATTATTACGAATGATGGAGAGTGACATTAAAATATTAATACATTTTAATTTGCCCCAAATTAAAGTGGAAAATATTGAATTGCGACGAAAAAATAATGTTGATTTACATTTGTTATAATCAATTTTCATTTAGCGGTAGCTCGGACCATTAATGTCATGATCAATAAAGTCATGTGATGCAGAGAAGATGTATTGCTTGAGTTAACTTAAACAATCTGCTGGTAACTTACAGTAAAAGGCAGCATGCAGTACATACAGTTTCAGTATGTAGTATGCAGTACTTTAGTATGCGTATCAGAACACAGTCTTTTTGTGGTTAGATAGCTAACAATGATGACATGCTCAAGGATGATGCAACACCTTAAGAAATCTTTCTAAATCAATCCAGTTCAGTCCAGAAGTCGTTCTTTCAAACCATTTGATCTCTCACTTTACCCTTCCCCAACATCAGTACCTGTGAGCAAACTAAGGGGGAGGGACTAACAAATGGTCAATTAGTAGCACCTGATTCCTGATTCTGAAAATATCCTGAGCTCTTTGGACTGTTTCTAGTTTTCTCATCTGTTCCTTGTTGGTTCCTTTTCTTCTCCTGCTCTGACTCCTTCTTCAGGTGATCAGTGGGTGCAGGCTAATGAGGAGCCAGTGGGGAAGAACCAGTACAGGGTGAAAGGTCTCCCAGTGGGGGAGAAGATGCTGTTCAGAGTGGTGGCTGTCAACGTCGCTGGACGCAGCCCCCCCGCAACCCTCTCCCAGTCCGTCACTATCCGAGAGATCATGGGTTAGAGAAAGTTCTTATTATAGAAATTAACCAGAAAAATCATATTTATAATGTACGACATTGCTCTGATTGGAAGACATTGTAAAATATCTAATAAATCCACATATTATAAAGCACTAACCCAGCATTGGTATCATTCAGTAACTATGTCCAGCAACTGTGTTTTTTATATCTAAATAATAAATACGTAAAATCTGTACGTGCTGTTTATTTTACATATGTATAATCCCCCGAACCACCAACTAAAATTCTACTTGTCTTTTCTTTCTCCTTCTTTCGTGTGTCCCCCACCCAGAACAACCAAAGATCCGTCTGCCTCGCCATCTGAGGACCAAACTGATCAAGCTCGTGGGTGATAAGGTGAACATAGTCATCCCCTTCCAGGTAAGTCTGAGTCTGGCTTTAATCGTTTTAGTTAAGAGCAGATACACTAGATTTGCAATAGCAGAGCACAACCAGTTACGCCAAGAGTGAACAATACAAAGTGCTTAAAGATCACTGGGTTGCTTCCACACTGACCTTTTACTGAATGACTGTTTCACATTTCACCTTAAACTCTGAAGCATTTAAAACCGACTCATGCATAAGCCTGGTGGAGAGAAAGGGGTGGTGACTGAAGGAGGGGTTTCAAGTTAACCCTGAAATTGTTTATTAAAGTAAAACTCAACTAGACTAGGCACAAGATATTTCATGTTTAAAACATCGGACAGCCTGTTTCATCATATGGTTACCCATGACAGTCGAACATGTTCAAATGGGTTTGGTGGAATGTTTTTGGATCTGTGAGGCAACCAAATATGTGCCAAGGATGTTCACATACTGTAGCTGCAAAGGGCAGTTTTTTTTCTTGTAAAATGCAAATCAGATCTGCAAACCATGTAGTAACAGGGAGAGCAGGAGCTCAAATGTCACAAAGGGTGTATGCTATTTGACAGCATCCTACAATGATGACATTGTTAAAGCCATAAGTAGCAGAGGTGAAGGCGATGTTACAAATAAAAAGAGACAAGTAAAAGGGAGCCATGGCTCTGCTTTCTTTTGAAGAAGCAGATGAAAAGCCTGTTCTGAGACAGAGGACGTGGCTACATGATGGTCTCCTGGGACAATAGATCCCCCTCAGCTCTGTCATCTTATCCAAGAATTGGAAGGATCTTTTACAACAGCTAGAATGCAATTCAAATTGAGACATATTTACCTAGAACTAAATAAAAAATAATGATATGCCAAGAAATCGGTTGGAATTCCGCAAAAAGGCACACATTTCGACACTCTGGTAATTGTCACATGATCTTCTTGCATGTTACCTTGATAGTCCAAAACCAGCTGACAGTTGCAAACATATTGCCCCTAATTCATGCAATTTCACAGATTGCTTTTCTTTTTTCTCTCAGTTTTTTCCCCTACAGTTCTTAATTTCCGATTTCCTTCCATTACTCTAACTGCAGGGTAAACCTCGCCCTGTCGTGACCTGGTTTAGAGATGGCATTCTCCTGGAGGACAAAACAGTGGGGACTCGTACCAGTGACGTGGATTCTATCCTCTTTATCCGCTCCGCTGAGAGAAACCACTCTGGAAAGTACACACTGTCCGTTCAGGTTGAGAACATGTCGGACAGCGGTGACATAGACATCCAGGTTGTAGGTCAGTCCCGTCATGGCACCAACACGTCCTAAACACCAACTGCATGTTCTCTCATTAGGATCAGAACAGCGTGCTTCGTACTTCAGAAGGTAAACGGCTAATAACCTGTTCGGAAGAGGATGATGGCTTGAGCCTAAATCTGTGACATTTCAAGACTTTTTTAAAAATGTGATGGTAATTCCTAATTTCATACTCCCAGGGATCTGTGACTCAAAGTAGCAAATCATCAAAGCGCTGATTCCCCTCTCGTATAATCTCGGCTCCTGCACTGCCACTGTGGCCTCCAGCTCATTCCTCATTTTATAGTCTCCCCGGGTCAGGGTGTTGGATGGATTATTTTTTGGGCCTTGGCTGGGATTATTTGCGCGTAGACTGGGATTATGCGTGGATTTTGAGGGCTACTCTGTCACTTCCTCTGCTGAGAAGGTTGAGCTAATGAGAGGCTGCAGCTCCTCTGATCAGCCCCCCCACAGATGAACTGTCACTGCACTGTTTCAGCAGGGGAGAGTACACAGAGAATTAACGGGCGAATAAAGTAGCGCTGCTCACTGTTTGTACTGTACTCCAACTCCACAGAGGAGAACACGCAGAGCAAGATTAATGACACATACATTACTATGTCGTACAGTATTGCTGTTCTGTGCTGCTTCTGTGCTAGTGCAGGCAGCATAGAAGACTCTATTAGAAACACCGCATTATTCTGCACATAAGGTTCTTTAATTGATCAGGTCTTTGCCAAAACAGTTTTTCCAGTAATGTATGCATCTCCACCTTTCCTTGAGTCATTTGCTTTGCTAATCTCTCGCTTTTTGCCGAACCTCTACCGCTGCGTTTGTTGATTTCTATCTCTCTGAGGGACTTTCATGCTCCAGTTTATTAATCTACCCCCTCTCTCTTTACATCATGTCTACATGTCTTGCCAAGCGGGGAAGAGAGTTTGTTATTTCAAACAGCTGTAAAACAAAATCCTCCAACGTTATCTCTGTCTATTTAACAATCCCACCAGAAAGGCCAGGCCCTCCTATTGATGTGCATGTCACAGATGTCTGGGGTTTCAATGCTGCGCTGGAGTGGAAGCCACCCAAAGACGACGGCAACTGTGAGATTATCGGCTACAGTGTTCAGAAGGCTGACATGAAGACTAAGGTACGCCTGGTGGGACAGAAGTGTAAAGGAGTATACAGATAGAGATATATTACTAACTTGCAGAACAATTGCAAAAATATAGTTTGAACTCAATTTGAATTTGATTACATGGTTTTGATGCATTTGTATAACCTTATGTAGAACTTCAATTGATATTTACAAGATAACGTTATAATTAGACAGTAAAATTTGACATTTTTGCCAACGATCATCAGCTTTACAATTATCGAGGAATTTTCCATCTTTGGTGTAAAATTCAAAATGCCTCCTCAAATACTTTCTCATGGCTTGGTGTCATGATTATCAGCTCAGCGCGATTTGATAATCTAATCTATTTTGCTTTATCAAAAGAACAACTTAAGCCTACATTGCAAGTACAAAGTCAGAAGTAAGGTTTTTTTTTTGCCATTATTTTTGGCTTACCTAAATTAGCACAATATCAGGTATAGCATGATGTCACAAAGTATAGTGTAGTATGCCATAAAAGAGTCAAGTCACCACCATACAGTGTGATACAAAACAGTTATAATAAATGTCACAAAAAGTCTGAGCTAGTGTGGATTTCAGACGTGATTGTCATAAAAATGCATGGAAGGCAAATATGGCAGGCTGATCGTGGCACAGAATGGGGAAGTGCCAACATCCATAAGCGCCCAGTGGACCCTCTTGATCAGATTGAGGCATGGCTGCTTGGAGATTTGTCACATGACTGCAAAGCCTCAATGTACTGTCATGGTCATTGTGTTGTACCAATTGACAGAGTTGGACCACAAGAACATGGATGCTGGGGATAGAAGATTCTACTGCTTATATAGCTCTCATCCTCGGCTATAAGCCTGTTTGAACCTCTGCTTCTCCACTCTGTCTCTCACATCAGGATTGGTTCACAGTCTTTGAGCACAACCGCAGGCCCAGCTGCACTGTGTCTGACCTGGTCATGGGGAACGAGTATACCTTTCGAGTGTTCAGCGAAAACATCTGTGGCCTCAGCGACGTTTCTGGCATCAGCAAGAACACTGCCACTATCGCCAAAACAGGTGAAGTAATCTCCGCAGAGCACGGCACTCTATAACATGATACTATTGCTTTTGATTCCAATAAACATCTAATGTATGCTTAGCTGTAGGCTACACTGTGTTCAGTAAAACCATAAAGTCAGCATCATTGTATGTAGGTCAGAATATGAAGAGAAGAAAGTATTTGGAATTGCGATTAATATTACACGATTAATATTAGTTGTGTAAGGAATTTAGAACTATTAAGTGTTGGCTGTGATTAAGGTTACAGTCTTGAACATCTTGGTTTCGTTCTCTATGACAACACCTTTGTGTTTGTGTTTCGATCTCAATACAGTACAGCGCTGCTGTTTGCAGTTTTTCCAGAGAATGTTCCCACAGACATCCATTGTGTAATCCTGCAACATAAATGCAAGGGCTTTCATCAGAGGGCCATAGCTCATCATCATTGTGTAACCTCATTTGGCAATAGAAAGTGTTTAACAGACATTTATTCAAAATAAAATCAATAAGATTATTAATTGAATTACTTTATTAAATAAAGGGAAATGTATTCACACTGATTATCTTAAACACAAAGAATATTTGACAGAGTGTTAAATAACATTTTATACTGGCTGCAGATTATGAAAACAACTAGGCTGGGAAATGAACACCTGCCACCAGCCAAATGCTGCTACTGTTGTCGTGTTGTTGCCTTTGGATACTCTAAGAGAACATTTGGCAGCCAACCAGCCAATGGCTTCTGTGTTCCAAGCTTTAGTCTGCCCTATAAAATTGTAGGGATTGTTGATTATAGTACCCATCTGACATCATAATGAAAACATGTTGTAAATTGAAACAATTTGCTAATTCAACCGCATGTCATACAATACAATATAAAACAATCTTTTGTCTTGGCGAGGCAACACAACTGGAAATGTTTGGTAAATAAAGCACATTATTCAACTCAATGTGTGTGTGTTTTTAAGGTAAGTAATTCAACACTTCTCAACCTTTCCAGGTTTGGACAATAACCGTCCACCCTTCAAAGATAAGGATGTGAGCCATTCCCCCAAGTTTACAGCGCCCCTGGTCAACAGAATTGTGGTTGCAGGTTACAGCGCAGCCATCAGCTGTGCTGTCCGTGGCTTCCCTAAGGTATTTACATTTTAACATTAAAAGTGTCAGTAAAATGATATTTTGTCATTCTTTATTAATCAGTTCGGAAAACTACTTCGACAGCAATTATAAACTACACATCTTCTCCGTGTTCATTTCTAGTTGATCTTTCTTTTTAATATAAATGTTGTTAAACTATTTCAACTCTTACATCTTATCCTTTAATTTCTGTGTCCTTATTGATTTTCTCCTTTTCCAATTCGCTCTCAACGTTGTATTTGCAACAAACTTGAGCTACCAACAACATTAATGCTCTATATAGCTATAAAAGTAGAAAATTAAATATTTTTTAAAAATCTATCTGGATCTGGAACATTACTGTGATTAATGTCACAAGAATGTTTCCTTGTAAATATTATCATGTAACCAATCCATTTGTTGGACTGTCATTTAGCATAGAACATGAGCAATAGGCAATGTCCCCACTGTATCTGGCAAATCTTACATAACAGTGCACTTTACCTGCAAGTGTATGCCACAGATGTTATGCTTTGTGTTTTTAGAGAGAGCGTACACGTTTTGAGTGTCAAACAGCGAGAGCAGAACAGCCAGACAGGATTTTGATGCCTTTGCAGCAGGAGTGTATTTTTATGTCTGAAGCAAGAACAAGAGGTGGAGCAGGAAGATCTTTGAACACACATCTTCTTTTGCCCTCGGAATCGAAAAAGATTTGTCAAGCCGAAATGTTGACCTAATTCCACCTCTCTCTCTCCTCCCTCTGCTCTCCCCCCTCTCAACATGCCTTGCTCTGTTTATACGCTCCTTCCACATCTCCTCTCCTCCATCCCATCTACTTTGCTTCCTGCTCCAAAACAGCCAAAGATCATCTGGCTGAAGAACAATATGATCATCGGTGAAGACCCCAAGTTCCTGATGCAGAACTACCAGGGCGTGCTGACTCTTAATATCCGAAGGCCAGGCTTGTTTGACGGGGGCAAATACTCCTGCAGGGCCGTCAATGATCTCGGTGAAGACGAGGTGGAGTGCAAGCTGGAGGTTCGAGGTATGCTGAACTTCACTTCCCATAAAACCATACATTCAAAGTAGTGAGTGAGAGGTCGACCTGTGTCGGAGCAGTCTCTCTGACAGTCTTCAATAACGCTCAGCTTGACAAATCTCCTTTAAACTTCGACTGATCTCTTCTTGTGAAACTTCAGTTCATATCTAGCCACATGTGCCAAAAATAAATCACCTTATTATATGTGTCAGCCACCAGATGACTCTGAGTGCCGTAATGTCTTTAAACAGGATGATCCACTGGCCTCTCATGCTGATTTAAATGTCTCTTTTCCTCCCCAGTTGCACAAGAGAAAGGAACGGAGACGAAGAACTGAGCGACAGCACGAAACAGCGGAGGATACAGTCGAACAGGAATAGTAATGGATTATGTATAACAGGATAGTCATGAATAAATATAATTAGAATAGATCACTGGCGAGGCTCTAAAGCCAATCCTGCTGCACCCCCCCCCCCCCCCCCCCCCCTTATCACCGCAGCTATGACGAATGCCACATCAGTAATATGCCGTTAATTTTTACAGCAAGCTGCCACCCTGTCACACTCTGACTGACTGAGAGAAGCCACCATGTACTGTAGTAGCACTGCCCCTCTGTGAGCACACACAGATGGATCCTTCTTCTCTGTCACTGAACACACTTATAAAACAGCCTTTCATCCATTACGGCTCCCTTTGTGTGTCTGTTTTGTGTCCGGGAAGTTTTTATAGGTTGGGATACATTTATGATTGTAAGGCTGAAACCTCTGCAGTGTGACCGAGTGTGTTGCTCGGTGTGTGATGTGTGAGCGGGGGTCCGTCGGCCCTGTGATGGTTGAGTGGAGGGATCACTATTCAACCAGGCATTGCCGACTTCATGGAGCCAGCAGGATTAAAGGGGTTCTCATACACAGATATAGACCTGCTGTGTCCTTCATGCACACACACTCAGAGGGCACACATGTTGACTCAGAGACACACACACCTTGTTTTCACCCAGTCCCACATGCTATACTACATTCCTCATGGCATGACCTATAGTGGTAGGCCTTTACAGATACATGACTTACACTCATGCACATACAAACACAAACACACACTTCAAATCAGGGTCTCATTAGCATCACACACTAGAGACTAATTAATGCACCCATCAACACTGCCCTAATTATCTCTCCCACGTCATTACTGAGCAAACGAATTACTGCTAATTTACACACCCGCAAAACAAACACAGCACCGTCTCTGCTGGGAGAGTCGGCCGCGGCTCGCCTCGCACACCAAATTAAAGCCTCACCGATGTGCTGTAGACCACCGCCACCCCAAGGGACCCCGCCCTCCGTTACACACCCCTAACTCCACCATCTGACAATGGAAGCCTTGACAAAAGATCAACTTGGAGATAAAAAAGCAGAGTTTTAACAAATCCAAAAGTTTGACTGCTAAATTCTCACTATTCTGGAGTATACTTATCCTCAGGCCTGTCCCACCACTGACTGCATCACGTCTTGGTCTCCTGTATCTCCAGCAGAGGGGGTAAGAGCACAGTGACAAAGACCCCAACTGACCATCACTAGGGTCCATGGTGTTAAGTGTGAGTGACAGGTAATTTAAAAACGATTACATTACCCATGCATCTCTGACTGAAGCTCCAAACCTGACTCTTCAACATGTCCCCCTGATGTCCCCTGACTCTTTGCACTAACTTTAAAACTTCTCCACTTTTGAGTGCAATAACTTGCATTACCTATTTTACGCATGAGTGGGAGAAGTACTCAGATCTTATACTTGAGTTATTGTAGATACCAGAGTGTAGGAATACTCTGTTACAAGTCAAAGTCCTGCAATCAAAATGTTGGTAAAGTACAAAAGTATTATAATTAACATATACTTTAAGTACCAAACCAAAAGTACTTATTATGCAAATTGATCAATTTCAGAATAATATAACATGTGTTTTGAGTATGATTATTGATGCATTAAAGTGTTATAAAAGCTGGTAAAGGTGCAGCTAGTTTAATGACTTTGTATACTGCAGGGTAGCTTGTGAAGTTACTCCAGGTGTAACTAAAGTCTGATTTAAGTGTTGATTATATTTCACATCATAAATCCAAATCTGTAAAGTAACTAAAGGTACAAAATAAATGTAGTGGTACAATATTTATAATTGTATTTGAGTAGAAGTACAAAGTAGCATAAAATGGAAATACTCATGCAAAGTATCTCAAAATTGTACTTACAGTAGGTACAGTATTTCAGTAAATGTACTTAGTTACTTCCCACCTCTGCTTTTACGATGAAGCATTTTGTTAAAGACGAAATGGTAAGAGGGCATGTATGCCCAGATGGAGCAGGGACAATCCTCCAGATACCTGAAAGTAGGCCAAGGATTGGTTGCACAGTAGACCTGCAGTGCAGCACAAAGCTAAAATGTTGAACCCTGTCGAGCAGTAAATGAGTCGTGTGTGTGTGTGTGTGTGTGTGTGTGTGTGTGTGTGTGTGTGTGTGTGTGTGTGTGTGTGTGTGTGTGTATTATGTGTGGTGTTGATATAATCTTATTGTCAGTTAACCTGAGACACAGTGTGGTGTGTCACTGTGCTGATTGACACAAGAAAGCTACACCACATGCTACTTTACATGGAAGTCTTGGAAAAATAGATTCTTCAGAAAAACAGCGTGAAACCTCGATACTGCACCTGAGCTTTACCCTCTTTCCATCCTACAAAAGTGATATTCAGTTGCTAAGCAATCAAACTAATTGTATCTACTGGTACCATCCGTGAGCCTTACTAAAGTTTCAAAACATGAGAAGATTCAGTTTTACAATGCTGTGTGTGCCACACACAGAAAGCTTCAAGTAGTAAGCAGAAATAGCGCATTTTGTTTTCCCCTCGTTCCCTGTGACACACCTTAAGGCTCTTTAAGTTTGTGATGTCTGAATAAATGATTAATGAGAAAGCATGGCAGCCCAGGAGTGAACTGTCGGCTTCTTCCTGCACACTGTATCTGCTTTGCTGTCTTTCCAATATTAGAACGGGCCTGCCTCTGATGAAAAAGAGACAACAGAGAGAGAGTGACAAGACAAGTCTTACCACAGGCTGAGAGGGAGGTAGATCGGTGGGATGCAAGCACTGTTATGTCTGTGCGAGCAGATTTGTGTGTGTGAGCTGAAATAAAAGAAAGACGAGCGATAGCAGAGACATAAACACACCTTCTGAAACAGTAGGATGGAGGAAACTATAATTATGCAAGTAATTATACATGAAATCACAGACTTGGAGAGAGAGAGGAAGAGAGAAGGTGAGAGAGAGAAAAGGCACTGGAGGGAAATAGCTTTGCAGTGAGACTCATCCATGTAATTACAGTAAAAGAACTGAATGAAACAGAGGAAGAACACACTCATATCCATAGGACCATACACCTGTTTCCTCCTGTCTGCACACAATGTCCAATCCTCTCCTTCTAAGCAACATCTTAACCACCTTACTCTACGTTTCACACACATATCTATACATGGACCAATTTTTTCCATCTTCTGTTGCCATTTCTTTTTCTTCCATGGTATGCTCTATTGAATCACAGTGTGACTTATACCCTGTGTCATCGTGTTCATTGATTAAAGAGCCCAAACCCTCCATGCGCTCACTACATGTAATGAGCACATACTGTATACTATCGTGGAGTGAGTAGGGGGCGTAAAAAGGAAGAGCTGCCCCACATTTCACAATAATGACAACTTCATGACTGCATGTGGCTGACAGAAACACACAGCCTTATCTACACTGAGAGAAACTCTTTGATGTTGAGCTCCTTTCTATACAAAGTAAAATGCTCCAAAGTGAGGACATGTTGGCTGGTTAGGGTCACAGGGACAAATGATCGATGTTTTGATGTGTCAAATTCACAGTTTGAGTTCTAAAATAAAAGTGGTTATTCATTAATTTATTGACAGTGTGTTTTAATAGTTAATGTACATAATCTTGGGGCATATACCTTTTTGTATAGAACAACAAACAGAATCATAATTTATCCTGCTAGTTAGCATAGGTCATGGGGGAATCAGGCTAAACTATTAAGTCCTTATCCCCAGCCACGTCCTCCAGTCCCTTGTGTTCCCTAGGTATTCTCAGGCCAGATGGGACACATAATCCCTTTAGTGTGTCCTATTCTTCTAAAGTCTCCATTCATAATGTCCAGGAAACCATGTGAGGCATTCAGGTCAGAGACGTGAACACAGTCGACTCCTTTACTAATAGCGGAGGTTCTCAAAGCTTATGATGTCCCATGATTTTAGATTGATAGAAATATCTACTAGAGTAATTTGTATGTAAGTGATGAGGGACAAAGTTAAGGGGCCCATGTCATGGCCATTTCTAATGATCACAATTCTATTGTGGAGGTATACTAAAATAGATTTATACTGTGCAATTTTCCAAACTCACATTGGTTTCTCATACAGCATCTCTGTAAAGTATGTGTATTCACCGGTATTCATTCTCTGTCCTAAACTGCTTGTTGAAGCTCCTGCCCCCCCTCCTTGTGAGCCCAGTCCGATTGGTCAGCTCGGCCACTCTGTTCTGATTAGTCAACCACCAGAGAGGCTCCGCCCATGTCTAACACAGTGCTTTTTTTGGCTCTGAGCGGAACATCAGTTTTACAATGGCGTCGGTACAGCTGTATATGTTTGAACCGGAGTCCGATCCTAAAAGTGAGACAGACCAACGTGATAGACCTGATCCACCGTCCCAAACTAGACTAGAGCAGACGGTTTCACAGTGTAAAGTTTTTATTTAGTATCGCTCTTACATTTCAGATGTAAGTTACAACATTATGTAGCCAGCTAGCTGAAAACACCAACAGTAGCACACAAC